GGGTGTGGGCGCGCGTAGATTCTTGAGGACCCTTTCATTTCTCATGTCCTGCCTCAAGCATATATATGCATGGTAGCAGAATGGCCTGACCAAGATCAACCAAAATTAAATAATCGTAAATCCAAATAAATTAGCTAGAGATTTTGATAATCTTGGATGCTTTATGTTGTAATGATCTCCAAGCCTAAAATTTTCCTCCTAATTCACTATTTCATCCCCTTCGTTTCAGTGTTGTCTCGGTATCAGTATATTTACACTCGATTGGGAAGCTGCAAAGATAGTATAAATATTCCCTCTTGCCATCTCTTTCGATCTCAATACATCAAGTCTACTGGGAAGCAGCAAAGACATCACCATGGACGGCTCATCATTATGCCACCTGGCCCACCTCTACCCAATTTGGTCACTGTAAAGGCTTCGTGGTTACTTTCTGAGATAGTTCCTTCATGTTTAGATAAATATCTTGAATACGGGTCCAAAACATATATTCATATTAGATTACAAAATTTTCCCATTTTTGATGTAGTGATGTAATGATGTAATTGAGGATGATACAACTAGCTGAAAGTTTATTAGACCTTCCAGTTTCATGTAGGCCCATTGGCTATGGCATTGGCACAGGAAGCACATGACATTGAGCGTTTTGCCTTGAAAAAATGTTGGTCTCAGAAGAGTGCAAGTTGAATGGAAGATAAACGACATGTCTACGATTTCTGAAAAACGACAATGTCATTTGATGTTAAAAACGACTGTAAGATTATTAAGGAAAATTTTTTTTTCCCTCTTTTTGCTGAATCAATTATTAAGGAACTTGTTCGATATATATTCTGTATTAGGCGACCCACTTGTCGTCCACAAATAATAGAAAAGCCACTCGCTTAAAGTTTTACCAAAGTAACAATTGTAATTTAGAAATTTACCAACAAAATTATAGCGGATTACGTTTTACGTTCTCACATTATCAAGTTACGGAGAGTATATTCTCAAAAGGAAAAAAAAACAAAAAAAATGAAACGGTTATGGAGAATGTATCATTTGGTCATTCTAGTCGATAAATATATGTTATTTACCTCTTCGCATTGGCTCTCCTTTTTCTTAAAGGGATTGGCTCCGTCGTTTTTGTTTTTGTTTTTGTTTTTTGTTTTTATTTTTTTAACTTTTTGGATTGAGAAGTTATTTGGATAGTTACTCCGAGTAGTTTATGGACCACTACGTCCAAAACCGACCAATTACAGAAGTCCCACTCCGGAGGAATTCTGTAATCTAGATACAATGCAAAAATAAGATTTTGAGGTTTCTTTTTCTTTTTCAATTAGTGGATATTTTCAAAATATTTACTACTAGAACTCTATATCGAGACTGGAATTTACTAGAAATTTGGGCACAAATGAGAAACCCATTTTCTCATGAAATTTGGGCAACTCCATAAGGCTTCATTTTTGAAGTCATTATAGCTTACGTTCCTGACGTCGTTCTTCCCATGTTGAACAACATGATCATGCTTCGAAGAAAAGCCTACCCAAGAGAACCAACCGTAAAGACTCCGTCTTCTAAAAAGCAAATTTCTACGACCACCTTCACTTAAAAGCAACACCATCAAATCACAACTATAAATAACTACCCCCATATCGCTTCTCATTCACCAATCTAATAGCTTTTAGCTCTTATCATTTCTTTTACCAATCATTCATATTCTTCTAGTGGAAATGGCTCTCTCTTTGCTTTCCAAACTTGCCCTTCTAGCACTCTTGTCTTTGTCCATCTTTGCCTGTTCTTCAACAGCAACCGATCCTGATTTCTCAATCGTGGGGTATTCAGCCGAGCACTTGACTTGCATCGATAAGCTCATCCATCTCTTCGATTCATGGATGTCGAAACACAGCAAAATCTACAACAGCATCGAAGAGAAGATAGAGAGGTTTGAGATATTCAAGGACAACTTGAAGCACATTGATGAGAGGAACAAGCAAATCACTGACTATTGGCTGGGGTTGAATGAGTTTGCTGACATGAGCCACGAGGAGTTCAAGAGCAAGTACTTGGGACTAAAACCCGAGTTCACTAGAGAAAGATCAACATCTTCTGAGAACTTCAGCTACAGAGACGTTGTGGAAGTGCCCAAGTCTGTGGATTGGAGAAAGAAAGGAGCTGTCACTTCAGTGAAAAATCAAGGATCATGTGGTAAGTGACATTACTATCTCAAATATGCATCGATTAATGCCATATATCATGGCGGTGACAGATTTTGCTTATGTGACAAGGTGTCAGTACATGTGATATCCTTTTTTCTTAATGTGTATGTTGTGTAGGTAGTTGCTGGGCGTTTTCGACTGTTGCGGCAGTTGAGGGCATAAACAAGATAGTGACAGGAAACCTGACTTCCTTGTCCGAGCAAGAACTGGTTGATTGTGACAGATCATTCAACAATGGCTGCAATGGGGGCTTGATGGACTATGCTTTTGAGTACATAATCTCTAGTGGTGGCCTTCACAAGGAAGAGGACTACCCGTATCTTATGGAGGAAGGCACTTGTGAGGACAAGAAGGTATATTAGCAATGGCACAAGAAGTAGTTCTGAGCCAGATTTAGAACTTGTCTCGTTTCTCATTATTGTTATTTTGATTTTCAACTCAATGACAGGAAGAGATGGAGATAGTGACCATAAGTGGCTACCAAGATGTGCCAACAAATGATGAACAGAGTCTCATCAAGGCATTGGCTCACCAACCTCTCAGCGTTGCTATTGAAGCTTCTGACAGAGATTTCCAGTTCTACAGTGGGGTAAGCGCTCTCTCTCTCTCTCTCTCTCTCTCTCTCTCTCTCTCTCTCTCTCTATATATATATATATATATATATATATATATAAAAGATTGAAATAAAATTATCGAATACAAATATTCTCTATTTTCTTCCATAAGGCTTCATGCATATTTTCCTTGAATATGTTGAATGGAACAGGGAGTGTTTAATGGACGCTGTGGAACCGAGCTCGATCATGGAGTTTCGGCTGTGGGATATGGGTCATCCAAGGGCTCAGATTACATCATCGTAAAGAACTCATGGGGTCCAAAGTGGGGAGAGAAAGGTTACATAAGGATGAAGAGGAACAATGGAAAACCTGAAGGACTCTGTGGTATCAACAAAATGGCTTCATATCCTACCAAGAAGCATTGATCTATTTATTATTACTAGTACAAGTTTCCCTTCATAAGCAAGCCTATGTTTTTGTTGCTGTTCTTCTTTCCTCGAATTATGGATTTTACATGTAACCTTCTCTTGTTACTTCAATAAAATGACTAGACAAGTCGCAATGAATTCTCCTTATGATTGAACTTAAAATAAACTCGTGTCAAATTGGGATGAAATTTGACAATCATCTTCTGTTAAGTACGAATAAAAGTAAATAGATATACTGCATCATGTAATGGTAGTGATTTTATCTATCATAATTATTATTTAAGGAAGGACTTTTTAAGAGCTCTAAGTTCCTTCGAGCAGTACAACGCAGTAATACATGAATTAGATGACTAATTTTCAATAAATAGGTTACGGAAAATGGACAAAAGTCAAGGTTATCAACTTTGAACTTCATTGTATTTAAAGACGCAGTCATAAAGTCGGCCCCCCAAAAACTGTGCAACCTCTGGATGTTTCACCTGTAATAGAAGATGGGAGAGGATAGAACAAGAGTAGCATAAAGTTAATGATTAGGCCAAAAAAAGGGGGGAAGTGTAGGACAAGATTATAATTCTCATCAACTATCTGTCGTCACAAGCAAGAATAATAGCACCATTAAAAACATTACCATTCCAATCTTGAGGGAGTCGCACTTGAATTGAGCGTAAAGATTAGTCTCTATTCCTCGACCCTGCCAAATGCAATAAAGGTTATGCTCATTCAACGCATCTCACTGACCTCATAATTGTCATTTGGAGGATTCTGAAGGAAAAACCTAAGAATGCCAGTACCAATCCTCAAGGAACTTACCATCCCTTCCAAAATTACTAGGTCAGCATCACTTGCCAGGAATGCAAGTTCTTGCGACACTCTTGTCAGATCAATAACCTGCAGCGCATCAAAAAGTCAAAGGTTCATTAGACGGCTTTAACAATATTCACAATCTAAAAGAGGATGACATCAGTTCAAGAGTAACAATGAACAAGGGTCAGACTTTAAATTCCTTACAGGTAAATCATTGCCAGAATTGGCGATCAGAAGATTTGAAGCATCAACACCCATGAGTTGTCCACGTTCATCCTTCAACTGGAAAGTGCCATGTACTAATTAGAGACGGCAACCATTCAGAAATTAAGAAGAAGCATTAAAGTATTGCTATCACCTTTGCTATAATCTCAATCAGCTCAGGGTAAGTTACATCATTGATAGAAGGTAAGTCGTTAGCTGCCAACACCACCTGCTCAACAAGAAAAGAGATTATTAGTAGGTCAAGATAACCGAGCAGGAGACTAAACATAAAGAGAAAATGATCAAACAAAGAAATAAGAGATATAAAAAAGACAAATCCAAGCATCCAGAACAACACACTGAAGACCCCTGCAACCTTTCAGCGTTTTCATGTTCCTCATATCGACCGTGGATCATACGGTACTACCTAAGGAAACTAGACAACAAGAAGATTGATACCAGGCAATAAAAAACTCTTTGCTCTTCCTTTAAATCTCCTTTATGAAATTTATCCACGACTCCCAGTCCCCCCTTTTCTAAAGCAGGGATCAAACTAGATTTAAATGATTTGGTAATTCAAGTTGGTAATGAAACTTAGCATAACCATCCAAACCCACAACTGAAAAATCATAAAAGTTTATTTATAAAGAACACGACAGAAATCATTGTGCCCCTCAAATGTATGACCTGTAGGCATACCATAAAAGCAACCACTTTCGAAATGCAAACCTACCTGGGTCCCACGTCTAAGTAACTCCCTTGCAAAAGGCAAAATACCCAGTATAATGTCTGCACCAGAATTATCAACAAAGATGACAGCCTGACATTACCAAAAAAAAAAAAAAGCGCTGGTCAGTACATCAAAAGCACATGCAGCTCCCTAGCCCATTCGCTAGATAGACAGGGTAAGACTTGGGGAGGGGGGAACTGAAAAAAGTGCAACTTGCCTTTTTCCAAGATTTTTTGCTCCATTTTGCTTTGAAAGTGTCTAAGTCATCAATAACCCAAGGTCGAGGGACAAGATTTTGACAACTAGCTAAGAAGGACATACCATCCTTCGAGAAAACTTCTGCAAGCTTCACAAATAAGAAGCAGTTTACCTTAAGTAACTGTTGTTGGAACCAATTAAAAAGATAAGACTGGCGTTTTAGTTATCTTTCATATATTCCACCAATAATGAAAAATTATTTATCCGTTAGAGACAAGAAAAAACAATCACAAATATCAGTGAAAAATTTAAACTTACCTGTGCAGAACCAAGATCAAATATGTTTCCAGCAAAAATTCCTCTGACCAAATTCTCTAGACGCTTTCCTTCATCTTCAATGGCATCATTAAGACGGACGACTTCCCCAAATAGGGATATAGCTTTTGCATTCTCTTCATCCTGTTGAATTTTATCACAAAAGTAGAACAGCTCTCTTGATTAGACATGGGCAAATCAGGGAAAGGGGAAAAAAGTAGTCATTCTGCTAAAAGCCCCATTTCTTTTTACCTTTTAGTACTATTACAACAAATTTAAAGATACATGATAAACAACCGGACAGGGGCATCTGGTCTTGCCTCTCCTGTCCTCACCATGGATTTTTTTCCACTAATTCTACTAAATGATTGAGCAAACACAAAAAATCTAAACTGTTAATACAAGATATCATTTTTTTTTTCAAGCACTATAAAGAAGATACCGGAAATTTATCCGAGCCCTTTGAAATTGATGGTCTTAGAATTGCAAAGAGTGATGGGCATATAAAGTAAACTTGCCTTGACTTTCTTGAATATATCTCTGAATCCCAATTCTCTAAGGATTTGGTCACGAAGTCTGCAAAGAAGCTGGAATCATAATTCGTAATCCCCCACCAAAAACCAGAAAAGAAAGTCAGCGTTTTCCCCTAAAATTAATGATCATACAGTACAATGTTAAACGGTCAAGTAATTAACTTCACAGAATTTGGCTTACAATGCAATCAGGTGGTCCACCATGACTTTCCGGATCCTTCTTGAAATCCTCAAGTATTTCAGCATACCTTTCTCAAGTAACGACCAATCACAAAACCACAATCAGATACGACATTACATCAAACGAATTCGATTCAATAGAATGTTTTTTTTTTTTTAAATCCAATCTTGAGAAACCTTACCTCTGAGCAAATTTCTCGGCTTTAGCGGGAGCATCAGGAACAGTAGCATCACTCTCCGCCCTTTTCCTGCGAGAAATCGAGGCAGCAAAAGAAATCAAAATCCCGATCGCCAAGCAAAAACCGTGTGGACATGAAAAGAGAAGAAAGAAGAGGGTAGGTACTTGAAGGAAGAGATGGAGTTGAGGAAGAGGTCGATCCAGGCGATCTCGGTGGGGGTGGGCTTGCGAGGATTGTCGGAGGGAAAGCGGTAAGGGATTGTGCAGGCTCTATAGTTGGACTCGATCGGCGTAATCAGCAAAGGGAATGCCACCATTTCACACGAGCTCTCCATATCTCTTTCTTCTTTCTTCTTCTTAAGTGTACCACAGAATCTGATTCTCTGACTATATATATATATATATAATCACTGGAAGAGAGAGAAAGAAGAGAGTGAGAAGGAGGAAGAAGAAAGCGAAAGCGTGTGGGAGATATGATATTATTATGCTATGGAGGTTGGAGGGAAGGGACTCGAAAAAGGGGATTAATTCCCTTCACGCCGTGACGCTGTGGCGACCGTTTTTTCGTTTGGAAATGAGTTTCTTTTTCTTTCTTCTTTTCTTTTCTTTTTCCTGCACAATTCGAAATGAGTTTCTTTGCTCCAAAAAAAAAAAAAAAAAAAAAAAAGAAAGAAAGAAAGAAAGAGAAGTACAGATTTTATCTCTTTTAATACATGATTTATTAATAATACTTTTTAAAAAACTCTATTTTAAGTTTCTTTCATTTCATAGAAAGGGCAAAAGTTAATCCCAATAAATAATTTCAAAAATTACACGAAATCCTCGTTTAGTTAATGGGTTTAAATTAAAGAACTTAAACTAAAATTTTAAATTTTGTGAAAAAATAGTTTTATTGCTAATATTGAAAAAGACTAAAAAATTATCTCAACCTATTTTGATGTAGTAAAATTGAGGGGAAAGAAAACAAATATCTCCTTAAAGTGTATGAGTTTAGATTTTTATCATTTATTCTTAATTAATATCTTTTTAGTTAAATAACTACCTTAATAAAAAAAAGTATTAATTAAGAATAAAATATAAAAATCAAGATTCAGAGGTAAGTTCAATAATTTCCTCAAAAACAATTAATCCTTCTGTTAGACGAATAAAACATGTTTGATAAATCCACCCTGAAATAGGAATATGGACATTTGGAGACGTGACTGACTGAAATAAAATATTAGTCCTTATGGTGTTCAAATTGTTTTTGCTGTTTATTGTTTTTGGTTTATTATGTAGTTTCTTTCTATGTTCAAGATGTAATCTCATTTTTTCAATATAAGTGGGAAATTTTATCACAGGAAAATAGAACTAGGTCTAAAACGTTTTAAATGTTGGGACCAGACTAATATTTGGTACAGAATTCAGGGAAATTTTGTTTATATTAATGCCAAAAGAAATTACAAAATTTATTCGTTCAGAAAACAAATTGCTATAAAAACGAATGTTGTTTACTTCCTGTTTGTCGTATTTCACAAAACGACGTGTGTCGTTTTGTTTCTCAAAAAAACGACATTTTCGTTTCTTAACTGAACATTGTGCTACAAGTAACGAGAAATCGTTTATATCATCTTGTAATGCTTTCGACCGAATCAACACGGCATGTCGTTATTTAGAAGCTCGTGACTGTGGTTTATTTGACACGACAATGCATCTCGGTGTCTCCGGTTTGCACAGTAAACGGCATGTCGTCATTTAGAAGTCCGAGACTTTGTGGGATATGAAATACGTGTTAAAATTAAACTCTCCGTTTATTTTAATTATTCAAGTTTAGAATTTGAGTTTTGTTACAGTAAAAATCTCTTAAAAATAGTCACATCTAAATTTTTTACTACAGTAAAAAGTTCTCATATAAAATCAGATCACAACTCAAATTAAAAATTTGAATCAGCAAACTAAACATGTCCAAAATTATGTCCTTTTAAGTGAAACTGAAATCTACGAAGATATTGCAAAATCAAGTACACGAGTCATCATAACAAGCCCTACCAAACTAACTAAGAAAAAAAGAATGTCCAAAACAAAATTTTTAAAAAAGGCGTACTAATCATTACGAGAACAACTAGGAACATGGGGGTGGAATTTGGGTGCCAATAAATTTAGCTCTAACATTGCTGCAAAAGGAAATGGAACGTTTATCCCCTGATGACGGATTCAAATGAACATCTTCAAGGTAAATATTCTGGCATGGAATCCCTTTGCTACATTCCAGATTCACTGCCACCTCAGACGATGATGTCCCTCTTATGTTCTTGAAGTGTATATCACTCAACTTCACTCTTGATGGTGCCTGCACATTGTTATAAAAAATCCAATTTGACCATTGACATCTATTTACCATTCTATAACACACACACACACACATATATATATATATATTTAGATGTCCATTCTATAACATTTATATATATATATATATATATAGTTGTATAATAGTATCAGACTGTGACTAAATTTCTTATTGTCATAAATTTCCAACGCTAGTGTTGTTGAATAAATATCGTAGTATGTTTCTCACTTCAATATGTTATGTGGAAAGCAAAGCCTGCACACATGTATTTATGTGTGTGTGTGTGTTAAAAAAAGAGAACCAGCAAATGGCGGTAAACATCAGATCAATTATCTGCAGGGGTTACCTTGGAAGAACAAGATGAAGATGGACAATATGACTGATCAATTATGATGGGGTTGCTCACATTGTTCATGACAATATTAGCAAACGTCATGTTGGTAGCTGCACTGCTGCCCGGAGAGTTGGGCCATGTCTTGATTCTAATCCCGTTTGTTGTCTCTTTCATGTAGCAATTTCTGACTACAAGTCCACTTACGTCTTCTTCATCCCTATACTTTCCCAAACTTCCAACACTAAAATCACAAACAAACATATAATATACGTTAGCTCAACTAGAGAGATGTAAAAAAGAGGTATTCAAAAGTTACCTAATGCCATGGCCGGGTCCGCAATGGATGCTTGTAATGGTGATATGAGAATTTCCTTGCCCAATTGATATGCAATCGTCTCCGGTGGCAATACGCGAACTAGAAAGAAAAACTCTAGAGCTCCGCTCGACATGGATTCCATCGGTGTTGGGACTATCTTCTGGAGCCGTGATCTTGATTTTAGTACCTCTAAAGTTGTGGCACTCCACAAGTGCCATGTGAAAGAACTTGCTGTTTATTGAAGTTATATCTTGAACTAAAGTGTTGTTCACTCCCATAAATTTCACACTCTGAGAAGATAAAATACTTCCTCATTAGACTATAAAAAGCCAAAAGAATAGAACAATTTTCTTCTTACAAAAGCAAAAAAAATTATATTTGATTAAACATACAGTTGGGAGGATTCTACAATTGGAGTCTTTAAGGCAATTGTTGTAAGGCCAGGCTTGAGCACCTTGGCCATCAAAAGTCCCACCTCCAGTCAAGATTAGCCCCTTCAGCCATCTAAATTCGACCCAACCACCACCGGATTCATACTTGAACAAGTCCATTGAAGCCTTCAAATAACCCTGCTAGTTGAATTCTAAATAGTCAGTAACGGGGAGAAAAAAAGGACTCTAAATAGATGAAGGTTAGGATCTTGCCTCCATCTGAACAGTAAGAGACGACACATTTTCACAGGGGCCATCGAACTTAACGGGACCAATCAAGTACGTCCCTCTCGGTATCACAAGGCTTACTCTGCCAGTGGATTCACATGCCTCCTTCCATGCTTCTATGAAAGCCTGAACTCACAAGTGTAAATTATGTATGTATTTAATAAGAACCCAGCAATCACATTATGGACGCTGTATACGAAGTTTCGAGCTATTTGATCTAAGAACACATCCATTTTAAAAGAAAAGTCAGAAAACTGCATGATTAGGACAGTTGGAGAACAGAAATGGTGAAATAATTCTTAAATTACTGTCAACAGGAGCCTTTACCACACTACCATAGATCATGATTATATATACAAACAAGATATTTCTTCGGGATGAGATGATATCAGTGGGATAATATTTCATTGAGACCCCAAAAGTGAACACTTTTAACTTTAAAATTGCCCATCAACTTAGGAGACCCTTTTTCACAATGATAAGAAAATGATGGCAATTGTAGGCCAAGTCTAAAAGAAGCCAAGTTAGTTACCAAATCTTGATCTTCATTAAACAAAGAAGGGGAAAAAAAGAGTAAGAAAAGATAGAGATGAGTTTCAGACTTGGCTATCATCGGTTCGGCCGTCGGCTTGAGCACCAAAGCTCCGGACATTGAATGCATTAAAGCTCCCAAATGCCTCACCACGCATAAGTTTTGTTCCTTGTAATTTGGAAGCTGATGTTCTTGACAAATCTCTTCCTCTAACACAAACACCTTCTAAACAGAAGAAAGACAGAATTATAAGCAATTTAATGCCCAAGCCAAGGCTCATGTTACCCTTTGTAAGGGTAATTGCCATGTTGGGCAAGATTTTGGAGCTTGAGTTTCAGTGGAAGGCCTAACAAGAAGTACTACTCTACGACTACGAGGCTGAACCTGGTTTTTCTTTTTGAAAGTTTAGGAGTTACAGAAAATAGAGCGGGAAATTGGAGACTTGGATAAGTAACTGTCCACAACTCCCTCATATTGCGTTAGTGGTTTTTAACCGTTCAGTGCCGGATCAAGGCTAAACAACTGGCAAGAGCCCAGTGCAGGTTTAAGGGCAAAGCCATCAAAACAATTGCCTAAATGCCCTTGCTATTAGAATCGGCCAACGTTTAACTATTATATGTATCCATAAATGTCTCAAAATATTGAAATTAATCACCTTAATAGTTTGTTTTTTCAAAAATAAATCCTATTTAGAATAAATGTTTAAGTCATTCCTATTACTTGAGGAAAAAAAAAAGAGGAAAAATTAAGCAAAGTTAGTGCATTATACTGTTTGCACTAAACATACCACGAAGAAACAGACATTTCTGAAAAGTATATAAGCAAAAAAAATGGGGGAAGTGGGTACGGTTTTCTCGGCATGTTCTTTTAACACGTTTTCCAACCTTATTTATATCTCTAGACTCTTGAGAGAAATTGAGGGGCTTTGCAATTGCACACCATGATTAGTCACAAATGTGAACCATACGTTGAAATATGCTGTACTTGTATGCTCGCTTGTTTGAACCTTGAGGTCCCATGCTTCCTTGGCCAAAAAAAGAGAAAAAAAGAAAAAGAAAGATTTTATTTGATTAAAGATAAACATATGATATTGACACTTCTTAATAATCCAACATTAAAATATTTATGCCTATTCCACCTATATAAATAACCTTCTTAAAAAAAGAAAAAAAAAACCTTCTTAAACTTCAGGAGTGCTATGATTTCCCCTTCACATGAGCAAATTCTGGACAAAGGTTGCGTTACTTACTATTGGCAACATAAGTGTAGTATAAAAGAATCAAAACATACTAATCTTTAGTAGGAGATGGTGGTATCACTATTAGAAACACCAAATCTTCCCTTCTTTTTCTTGATTTCTTTTTTCCTCCATGAATCAAAAACAAAAACCCTCCTTTTCACATTAAACGATATGTGCTAGGGCCATAATCAATTTTTCTGTACTGGGATATTACATGTACATAAAGCATTCAGAAAGAATAAGAAGTCAAAATCACCAAGCAAGTTATGAAAAAATTCTCTCAGAATTGCTACTTCCCTCCAGTTTTCAGGCTTCATTCAAAAGCTCCTCATTTCTTTGCCTTTGCAAACCTGAGGCACCTATACTTTTCTCCGCTTACAGTTATTTCAAGAGCTCCATCTTGATTATCTTGGCTTGATGCAGTCCCCATCAGAACACTCTTCTCTTTTTCGAGGTTTTCTTTCTCCATCTTCAGCCGTGCTTCTTGTCGGGCAATCTCTGCCTGAGACAATTAGAAAAACCACGTTTGAATGGCATAAAAACAAACACTACCTTCCTAATCCATGGGATACAATTAAGTAGCTGATACATACAAAGAAAGTCGAGCTACAATACAACATTGCCCCTTTTAAAATTTCATGCTCATTTCATTCCATATGCAATAAACAGCATTTACCCTTAAACAAAATCAACAACAAAAACTAGCGATAGATGTGATTGCTGACACCATATCCATTAGGGAAATCCCATTCATCGGATTAGACTTTAGAACTGTGTGTATGCACACAAAAGGGTATCTATCCGCATGTATCCTCAAGAATCGAGCAATACTATGCTATTTCCTATGCTTGTATCAGGTCTATTTTCTTTGTTCATTGGAGTTATAGGAACTCCTTTGTTCAATCGATTCAATCAAGAAGAAATGCGATTCGATATATTCACAAAATTCTTAGCTCCATTTATAAACCTTTTTTATCATATATATATATATATATATATATCTGTTCTCACGGTAGCTCTAAGTTCCGGAGATGGAATCGAACTGATAACTGCAAGTAACAGAGTAGCGATATTGTATGAGCTATGAGCCATTTCCAAACAAGAACAACAGCTAAAGTACGTTTCTTAATCTCTAAAAAATGCTAGAATTCCATCAAAAATAGTTGACAACGACAACAATCACAGCAAATCTTAATATTCACAAGCAAAAGACATATCTTCACCATGGGTAATAATCAACATCTAGCTTCATTTTTAAACAGGATTTTCACTCAATTCAACAAAAACAGGGAAACCTTTGACAATCAATTAAAATGAAACCCTAGAATCGAATGAAGAAACAAGGTAAAAGGGAGTTGGGAGAAAAAAAAAAAACCTCGCGGCGAGAGAGCTCGGCCTTCCAAGCGGCCTCGCGCTCGGCGACTTCGCGTTCTCGCTCTTCGATGTAGCTCTGCATCTCCCTCTCCTTCATGATTCTGTCCTGAATATCCGCCTCCAGAGCTTCCTTGAGCTCCTGCACGAACCTGTCTACAACCGCTTTTATCCTCAGAGACATCTCCGACAAAACCAAATTACCCTCAAAATTCTCCTCAGAATATCCGAAAATTCATTCCAGAACAATCGTCCGCTGATCACTTCGCGCCAATGGTGTTTGGAGACGGAAAACCAGAACAGGAGAGTGAGAGTTCGTGTTAAACGTCGTCGTATTTCTGCGCATTCCTCTGGTATTTTTTTCAGTGTTTGAATTGAAGACTCGATTAGCTTCGGGCGAGCCTGGGAAAAAGAAAAGGAAAAAAGAAAAGAAAGAATGCGTGCACGGAGAGACAGCGAATGTTTGGACCTTAAGGACTTGGGCTCCTCTGTCCCCACATACAAATGGTGATCCGGGCCCACGTGATGTAACTCCTCACTTTTGACGAGAGCCGTTAGATTCGGGCCCACTCTGTTAACTTGGTCTCTGTCTCACTCATAACTCACATGTCATCTCACGTGTCGTTTAGTAGGTTATATATATATATATTAATTTTCAGGTAATAATTATCGTCTCTGGACTTGGCCGGAAAAGGCTGGCCGGAAAAGGCAAACCGGAAAATCTATTTTCCTTTCTACGGTTAAAACTTAAAACGGCACGATGAGAGCCGTCTCAAAGCGACTATTACGACGTCGTTTTTCCCATTTGGCCGTGGCGTCTCGTACTGAGCCGAAATCATCGTCGTTGTCGTTGAACTCATCATTGGCGTCCTCGCTGATTGAGGAGTTCGCCAGATGTTGCTATCAGAGAGAACTGCGGGCAGCCATGAGAGCTATGGACGCCATAGAAAGGACTGGAGTTCGGGCTGATTCCATTACGTACTCGGAGCTTATCAAGTGCTGCTTGGCTCGTGGGGCGGTCGAAGAGGGTAGGATCGTCCACAGGCACGTTTTCTCAAATGGGTACCAGCCAAAGACGTTTCTGATCAATGTTCTCATTAACATGTACGTGAAGTTTGGGTTCTTGGAAGAGGCACAGAAACTGTTTGATATAATGCCTGAAAGAAATGTTGTATCTTGGACGACGATCATAGCAGCTTACTCTAATGCTAAGCTCAACGAAAGGGCGTTGGAATTCTTGGTATTGATGCTTAGAGACGGCGTGATGCCCAATATGTTCACCTATTCTTCCGTTCTGAGAGCGTGTGACGGGCTGTGGAATCTACGACAGCTTCATTGTAGTATATTTAAAGCTGGATTGGAATCTGATGTCTTTGTTCGAAGCGCTCTCATCGACGTTTACTCGAAACTGGGCGAACTGCGAAATGCATTAGGTGTTTTTAATGAGATGGTGACAAGAGATTCGGTTGTTTGGAACTCCATCATTGGAGGTTTTGCGCAGAATGGGGATGGCTATGAAGCCCTGAATCTCTTCAAGAACATGAAACGAGCCGCTTTTCATGCTGACCAGTCCACACTAACTAGTATTTTGAGAGCTTGCACAGGGTTGGCGCTTTTAGAATTGGGCAGACAAGTCCACGTTCACGTATTGAAATTCGATCAAGATCTAATTCTCAACAATGCACTTCTAGACATGTATTGCAAGTGTGGCAGCTTCGAAGATGCTAACATTGTTTTTACAAAGATGGTGGAGAAGGATGTAATATCTTGGAGCACCATGATTGCAGGGCTTGCCCAAAATGGTTTCAGCCAAGAGGCATTGAAATTGTTTGAGAACATGAAAGTTTCTGGGTCAAAACCAAACAATATTACAATTCTTGGAGTTCTCTTTGCCTGTAGCCATGCCGGGCTCGTAGAAGAGGGATGGCACTACTTTCAATCAATGAAGCAGCTCTATGGTATTGTCCCAGAGAGAGAACACTATGGTTGTATCATTGATCTTCTTGGAAGGGCCGGGAAGCTTGATGAAGCAGTAAGGTTAATTCATGAAATGGAGTGTGAACCAGATGTTATTACATGGAGAACTTTGCTCGGTGCATGCAGGGTACACAAGAATGTGGATCTAGCCATATATGCTGCCAAGCAAATTCAAAAGTTGGATCCGGAAGATGCCGGAACCTACATTTTGTTGTCCAATATTTATGCTAATTCTCATAGATGGGATGATGTTGCAGAAGTTAGGAGGAGCATGAGACTCAGAGGAGTCAGAAAAGAAACAGGATGTAGCTGGATTGAAGTTGACATGCAGATACATGCTTTCGTTGTGGGAGACAACTCGCATCCACAAATGGAAGAGATCAATAAGCATCTAAGCCAGTTGATACAGAGATTAAAGGAAGCAGGTTATGTTCCAGACACCAATTTTGTTTTGCAAGATCTTGAGGGAGAACAGAGGGAAGATTCACTTCGATACCACAGCGAGAAATTGGCAATCGTCTTTGGTATGATGAGATTGCCAAAGGAGAAGATTATTAGAGTCCGGAAAAATATCAGGATCTGTGGAGACTGTCATGTGTTTGCCAAGCTGATAGCAAAGATGGAGGAACGGATCGTTGTAATTAGAGATCCAGTTCGATACCATCATTTTCAAAATGGAGCATGCTCTTGTGGGGACTACTGGTAACGGAAGAAGAGATTTACAAGATATAGCTAGCTTACAGTTTGATTGTAATGTCTGATTGAGTGCAATCATATCAGATGAACAAAGACGTCATGAGGTGTATAATATATATAATATGTAAAATTGAAGTGGTCATGGTGCAAATATTTTGTACAATGCAATCGCAGAGTGTGCTACAACACAGTTTGAAGCAAAAAGCACATGACAACGGAATTATTTAACCAAAAGAAGGCCCTAGAAAAACGCTAGAAGCATCCTTTAATTTGTTCTTCACAATAGCAACTTGCAAAGTAGAAAAACAAAAGCCTTGTTCATTTTATGACTCAAGTCATATTGCTACAGTGTTTTCTCTCACATAAATTCAAATTTAACTTTTTTGCTACAGTATTTTTCTCTCACATACACAACTCAAGTCATGACTTGAGTTGTGTAAATGAACACACCCAAAGACTATCGGATTTTTCCCGCTAAAAGCATGTTCAATAACCATCACATCTAACTAATAGTAAAAGAAATACTCATCAGCTTGTATGTGGTTGGTGTTCGACGCCTCCTACTACAATTTTTATCTTTAAACCATGTTAAACAGGAGATTTGTCACCTTCCATTATATTACAGACCTCAGCATACCCTTCCACCGCGTGCTCTATTCACAGGAATGACCCTTTTTGCTCTCTCACAACTCGTCTTTGGATATCCCACTGCTTCCATGCCCAACATAAGACGCATAAGCTTTGATAATAGATTCATAGACGCTGATTCCTTTCAGGTACTCATCTTTGTTTAAAAACTGAGACGTGTCGAAAAGATAATGGTCAGAATACAGGGTTGCAAATCCTGTCCCTAAGGTTTATTATATATTTCGTTCAAATTATTAGTACACACACATTTGGAAAGTATCGAATTATAGGACTCTCACCTCATTGTGGTCGTGAAAAAGAATAGGGGTGTTGGCGATTGGAGAAAAGCCAATTGCCGGCACACCACGTGCACGGAAGTAGCGAGCATCTGTTGTACCAATGATGATTTCAGGCTTGCCGAGTGTTCCATTAGCGTCTTTGACAGCTTCTTCTAACAAGCTCCACCAGGGGTTTGAACTGTCAGTAGCAGTGAGAACTGGCTTCCCAAACTTATCAAGGACAGGAACCTTTTGTTTGTACTGCCAAGGTAAGAAGACAGAACGTAAGATAAAACTTCCAAGAACTGAAACTGAAAGCATGAACTTAGTAGGAAGTTCTTTTCCTATACTCACGCTTTCAAGCGGAAAATGAACATGGCATAAAATAGAAACTGATCTCAAGTTCTGAGTGAGAAAATTGTTACCTCAAATGCCATGTTGCGTGAAGCAGGTGCCCATTCTTCAGCAATCCGTTTCTCCAAAGACTTTGGATCGGCATTTGGGGAGACCCTTACATCAAAACCTGCTTCTGCTTCCGATGGCTGCAAATTCATGACAAAACCCTGGCAGACAAAATGCGAAATGGTAAAATATACTTCCTGATCATTATCATTGAAAAGAATAAAATCGTTCCAATATGAATTTGCATTATACTACAAGATTTCTAAGGACAACTTTTATGCCAACATGAGAAGTAGTTGCTTGGCTTATGACAAAATATGCACTATTGCCTACTAGAAATGAAATCTCTTGCCTCTTGCACACACAAAGTATTTACTTTTAATCACAAACAATAACAGTCTATTCTCCAGAAATGAGAAGAATTGAGAAGAGAAAGATGAATCTTTATTGAATGAAAGAATGAATTACAATGCAGTGATTTGAGGTACTGCTAACCTCCCCTTGCTCAGCCTAAGCCAAGACTTCCTCAAACTCCAGTATTTTTCCTCCTCTCCCTCAATTCCCGAACCCCCCTTTTAATATCCCCTGCCTTCTCTAACTAATTCCCTCCCCAACTAAAGTCCACAATAACTAACTAATAACATCCTTTCTAACAAACTACTAACTTCTCTAACCAATTAACAAGTTCCTATCATTACTCCCACTTCAAACAAACACCTTGTCCTCAAGGTGTAAGTCAAGAAATTGCAGCCGAATGACTCCACTTCCTTCCCATATCGATGAGCTTGAATCTTGGAACGTCAAATGGAGCATTGACTCTAGGAGAGTTAAGCTCAGCGGTGACGAAGGCTACAACAGAGAGGCTTGGAACCATGAACTCGGTAGCGACGATCCCAACAACAATGGGTCCTAAAGCAGTGAACCAGATAAACGTTGGGTTTTGAAGTTGCAAACCCACCAATTTCAAGTTTGCCATTTGCGAACTTCCTAATTTGAACTCTAGGCACACCAATTTATGCATACCTTGCCCCAAACTTGCTGAAATTTCGAGGGTGAACTCCAATTGCACCAAAATTAGCCTCAATCTTGCTGGAATTAGGAAGTCCAGCCCCAACCTTGCTAAAGTTGCCCTGTCCACACAGGCAGACCAAGAAACAGCCCTGATTTCACCAGAACTCACGCCTAAATTCCCGATTCCGGCCCCAAACACGCTGGTGCTGGGAGGCCCATCCCCAATTGCGCAGAAATCAACCCCAATTGCGCCAGAATCTCGGCACCCAATCCAAATCCGGCCGGAATTTCGGAACCCAACCCAACCCTTGTTGGAATTCGCCCTGAAAATCCCTGACCCAGTCCCAATCACGCTGGAAGACGAAGACCTAGTCAAAATTGCTCCAAAATCAGCCCTAACGACTCTTGAATTCAAAGACCCAGTCCTTAAATCCCGAGACGCAGTCTCCAAATCGCCGAAATTGGAACCTATCCCGCCGGAGTTGCTAACCCCAACCCTAATCACATGAAGATAGGAACCCATCGGACCGGAATCGTGAAACCCAGTCCCATAGACGCCCGATTCCGCCGTGACTCCGCAAGAATCTTCAAAATTGACACTTAAAACAGGTCGTGTCTCCTCCGTCGATGATTTTTGACGTTGCTCCGCCGCGATTCCCCACTCAAACGCCGACGTTGGTTCCCTAACCTCCACCGTCGACGATTTCGCTATCTCTGACACTGCCAAGAATCACCTCTGTTCTTCCATCATCTTTCGAATCTGAGCAAAATTTTCCCTTACTTTTTTTCTAAATTCCCCAACTCCCTTCATCATTGATTCGTGAGTTTCTCTGATTTCTTTCTTTAACTCATCCAACCTTCCGTCGAATTCCTCTTCAGCCATGCCCAAAAGAGTACCGATTGACTTAGATCTGAGTGATATCGCACCAGATCGCGAAAAATTGCTCGGAGTGCCGTCAGCCTCACGCGATTCTAGATCTCTTCGCGTTTTCTCTAAGGTCATTCGTCGGTTTTGATGTTCCAAATCTGGTTGCGACGAGCCACCGCCAGAAACATGAGGTTCTGAAATCATTCCTACGTTCTGTGGCCAAACCTCCATATTTGTTTCCGAAGGCAATCTTTGTGTTGGTCTGAAACGTTGAAGCAAATTCATCTTGAATGCACTCCAACAAACAAATGGTCGTCTCCTATCCTCCCACTGAAACCACTGAAAAGCTTTACCTTCCATGAACTCCTCAATGAATATCACTTTTTCTTGCTCTGAAAATCGATTTTTCAAGAAATATTCTTCTCCTCTTGCTATCCACGCATCCGGATCTTCTCCAGAAAACATTGGCTTCTCTAATTGCTGCCAACGTCCTAATGTTCCCTCCATCTTCTCCGAATTTCGCCCAAGAAAGTGCTCTGATACCACTTGATAAGATCTAAGGCAATTCTCAAGAAATGAGAAGAATTGAGAAGAGAAAGATGAATCTTTATTGAATGAAAGAATGAATTACAATGCAATGATTCGAGGTACTACTAACCTCCCCTTGCTCAGCCTAAGCCAAGACTTCCTCAAACTCCAGTATTTTTCCTCCTCTCCCTCAGTTCCCAAACCCCCCTTTTAATATCCCCTGCCTTCTCTAACTAATTCCCTCCCCAACTAAAGTCCACAGTAACTAACTAATAACATCCTTTCTAACAAACTACTAACTTCTCTAACCAATTAACAAGTTCCTATCAGAAAGTTCAAGTTAACAAACAAGCAAAATAGTGAGTTAACTCACAGTTGGAGATGGTGTGCCAGCTTTCAGGAAGACCAAGTTAACCGAAATGACCTCGCTATCAACTTTCAAACCTGACTTAACCAAATCAAACTGCGAGTCCCGAAACCGCCAAACACTCTCAATGCTCTTCATCAGATTCTCCATGGCAGTGTTGTCATAAAGCTTCGCGCCATGGCCCGGTGCCCCTGTGGCCTTGATCACCAGCCACCATGAACACCTCTCCCCATAAAACACGTTGTACTTCTCATCCAAGGAAGTACTCCCTGTTTCCCAAGACACAACTATCTCATACATCACCAATAACTAACGGCGGAAGCCACATTGAGTAGAGCATGTGCCTCCCTTCAACTTTTAAAACTTAGATTTGTATCTATCAAAATGTCCTTATTTTGCAAAATCATTTGTAATTATACCCCCATTTAATAATTAAAATAAATTGTTGCACTCCTCATTTACAAGAAAATTACAACTGTGCTCCCACATAATAATCAAGATATAAGACGAGTTTCAGTGGTTACGCTTCCATCAGTAGTTACTACCAAATGTAGAAATTTAATGACACTCACATAATAATCAAGATATAAGACGAGTTTAAGTGATTTTACTATCAAATGTGGAAATTTAATGACATTGGCATGATAAAGAATCCAATCCTTTAACTATAATAAATTTTTTGGATCAACTACCTAATTATAAGTAAGGACTTTCTCGGTAGTCTTGTAAAAATAGACTATTGGTAGTTTCTTATTTTTTAGCCGTTAAATTTGTATCATAATCTGTTTGATTTGTATACTTTTTCAATCTGATGTAATTTTGATAAGATCCTATAGTCAAAAATTGGGACTACTGGTAGCACAGATTACCGGAGAAAATTCCCAATTAATTATGTCTCTGTCTCTAATTTTTTTTTTTCATATCCTCACGACATGACCACCAAAATTAAAAAAAATAATAAATAAAGATAAAAATTCTGCCTCTGTTATTGCCTATAATCATCAATTCCTCATTTTTGAGTTGTGATTGTAACTAAGAAAAGTAATTACCTTCATCAAGCATTATGCCCACATTCATGTCCCTAAAAGCATCAGACTCCGCAAACATCCGAGCGCCATCATAGCCCCCAATCTCCTCATCGGGGACAAACGACAAATAGACTGTGCGCAGAGGACTAAACCCAGAAGCCTTCAAACGCCGAATGGCCTCAACGTACTGCAAACCCACGCACTTGGTGTCCTGCGACCCTCTGGCGTAAATATCGCCGTTGGGGTCGACTTGGGCGGCAAAGGGGGGGTGGCCCACTTGGCGTCCTCGGTGGGGACCACGTCGGTGTGGGAGTTGAGGAGGATGGAGGGGAGAGTGGGGTCGGAGCCGGGCCATTTGAGGAGGACGAGGGGCTTCCCTGGGACGAACTCGAGGGTCTGGGAGTGGAGAGAGAGGGAGTTGGCCTGGGAGAGGATGAAATCGGCTGCTTCGCTGTATTGGGGGTTGGGGTGGGCGGTGTTGATCCGGAGGTATTGCTGGAACCTTGATATGGCTGATGATGGTGATGAGGGGTCTTGTGATTCTGGTTCTGAATACGTTGATTTTGATGATGAGAGAAATGGGAAAGAGCTTATTGTTAGTAGGACCCAGCAGAGACGAAGAAGGTTTGTGATGTTTTCATAACCAGATTTCGTGTGGGAAGAAGATGAAGCCATTGCTTGCTTCTTTGCCGGTGTAATATGTTGTTTTTGCTAATTCTCGAGCTCCAGGTGGAATCTGGTTCTCTCTTGATTTGTTGACTCTCGTGAACTGCTCGAGCTCTTTCTTTTTCAACGTACTTTGCCACGTTCACCAAAAAAAAAAAAAGTTTTAGATTTGTTTTTTTGTTTTTGTTTCTGATTCTCTTCTCTGGGATGATCTTTAAAAACATCTCACTATTAGCTAATGTCAAATTTTTATAAAACTATTTTGAGTAGGAAATTATTCTCTTTGTCTTTTAATGCTAGATTATGAACATTATATGATTAGGAAATTATTCTTTTTAGTATATGATTATTGGGCGGGTTACAAACGTTCTTAAGTTAAAGAGTATCATATGAATGTAGTTGTTTTTGATACCTTTTAATTTTTTATAAAAGCAAACAAACTTTATTGGTGTTCTTAATGTTGAGTTACTTTCTAATTTATAGATTAGGTTTTAAGTTTATCTAAAAGGGGCTGTAGTCGTTCTACTGATAGGACCATTTTTTTTGACCGTTTGATCTGATAAAATCAAATAAGATTAAAAAAAATATACAGAATATATAATTTTTGATATAAATTTGACGGTTAAAAATAATTAAAAAGCGTAGAACTACATCTATTTTTCTGAACTTACACGAGAAACTCACTACCTAAAAATAATATTATATTTTAGATGTTTTAAAAACTCTATATTATTACAAATGCATATCAATTTTGTATTTTTTTTTTACTATTTTGATTTTGATAATTGATTTGACAAATTAAACATTTATAGATCATCCCGTAACAAAAAAGCATATTTGTCGTGTGACTCATAATACGTAAAAAAAATAAAGAAAATAATCATTAAACTAGTATTTTTAAGTTAAATTGTACAGAATAATTTGTAAATATAAGTATCATTATAAAGTAAAAAAGAATTTAGAGGTGAATATTTGTTTTTTTTTCCTTTTTTGCTAATCGAAGGTGAATATAAATTGTTTACATAGAAAATGGAGGATTTTTATTTTTTGAACATGGGGAAATGAGATTCGAACTCTTTATGGAGTCAAATGTGTAATTATCATTAGAGTATACCTACAACTACAAAAAAGAAAGAATTTAATATGAATGTAAAATTTAGAAGTGTGGTCCTTTTTTTTTACGGAAATAGTAGAAAATAGGTCAATATGAAAAGCTTAAGAAAATATGTAGGTCAATTTTTAGTTATAGAAATTAATATGCCATAACTTGTCAAGTTATGGTTCATAACTTGTCAAGTTATGGTTCATAACTAGATAAGTTATGGACAAACTTGTCAAGTTATGGTTCATAGCCAGACAAGTTATAGACAAAAATCGTGAATTATGGACAATAACTTGTCAAAGTTATGGTTCATAACCAGACAAGTTATGGACAAAAATTGTAATTTGCCCTATTTATTAACTTATATAAACTATTAGCCTATTAATTTTAATTCATCTCAAATCTTGACTTATTTCATTCTTTCTCCTTTTTTTAAGTGCACAGGACATAAGTGTGGTTTTGAGAATATTCAAAATACAAGAATATTTTTTTATAAATATAAAATACGGCATAAAATCGTAAATACCTCATTAATGTTCTTCAAATAACTTATAATATTTTTTTTTAGAGTTTTTGGCATAATTACTCCTGAAAATTTTGATAAGTTGCTCATCAAACTTGTAAATTTATTATAATGTGCCCTATTTAACTAAATATATTTAAATTTTTTATTAAATTTAAGGGATTAAAAATTGACATATTGAAAATTTTGTATTATAATTGAATTGGAATGTTAAAATTTTTAACTGAACGTGTTTTTTTTACATTAATTTAACACAATTGTCGTCAAAATAAGGTATATTACAATAACTTTATAAGTTGAGGGGATATATTGTAACAACTTCACAAATTAAAGAAGTAACCTGTTATAATTAAAAGTTTAAGATGTAATTTACTAAACAACGATAAATTTAAAGGACAAATATACTAAAAACCCTATTTTTTTAGTTAAAAAAGTTGATATTTGTAAAGAGAATCTCTACTTACACTGATGGAGTTAAAACTTGTTACTCACATATTATTTCATTTCTTAAACGAAATCATGTCCCTGAAAAAATGAAATTAAGAAAATAAAAAGGTCGTGTAAGTGTAAAGCGAAAAAGTCAACTGAACCAATCACGACGTGCCACATTGTGTAACGTAAATTAATCCGAGCTCCCGTGGGGGCTGTAGAGGCAAAAACAGGCAGAGACTTCAGATAGAGAGCCACCGCACCGCCTAAAACCCCAAAAGTTACGAACCTCAAAATCAGTAAAATAAAGAAATAAATCAAATCAAATATCAAATATGGAAATCACTTTCCTCTTCAGTGACCCCATTTCCTTTTCACCAGGTTTGACTGACCTTTCAAGTATTCATCCCACTTGTTTCCTCCTCTCCGAAAAATACCTTCTCTGTATCATCGTTCTTCGTCGGTTATACACACACACACACACACACTGTGTATACTTATTTCCTCTACTTTTCTCTAGAGTTATGTATAAATAACATATAAACCCAAAATCAAAACTTTTTTTTTTCCTTCTCAAAAAGGAAAAATTGAAAAAAAAAAAAAAAGAAGAGAAATCCGAACTTGAAAGTTCCCACCTTTCCGAAAACCCCGCTCTCAAATCCCCACTCTCTCTATCTCAAAACTCGGGTACGTCACTTTGCCTTTTTAGCTCTTTCTTTTCTATTATTATTATTATTATTATTATTTTCCCGGAAAACAAACGGACGCGACAAAGAGAACAGAACAAAGAAACGCAGAGAGAATCCCAGAGAGAGAAAGAGGAGAGAGAGAGTTGTGTTGGAATCGGCGGGTGCGATGGAGGAATACATGAAGGAGTGTATGAGGAAGTTGGCGATGTGGTACACGAGAACCTTCAAGCCCATCATGACCCACGACGAGCTGGAGCCCATCATGGCCACCTTGGGCTTCGTGGGCCTTCCACCGACGACGACGGCGGCCCACGGCGGCCCCTGGAAGGAGTACGTGTTCTCAGCCGGCCAGTGGCGGGCCAACTCATCATCGGGCTCCTCGGTGGCGGAGGCACAGCCCAGGCCCAGGTTGCCGTACCCCAGGATTGATGGGCTCCACATCTATACATATCGGGCTTTCATCGACGCCGTCAACTTCTACCTCGAGATGTGCGACTTCTCCGATCTCTTTCATATTAGGTACGCTTTTTCTTTCTTTCCTGTTCCTGTTATACGAAGCCTATTTTATCGTCTTGTTTTATTTATTTATTCTGGTTTGGACTTTTTTTTTTTTTGGTGAATATTTTGATGTGGAATTGTTCAACTGGATTTGACTACAATTTTTAATTTTTACTCTTTTTTTAAACTATTTTTAATTTTTACTTTAGAACAGAAAAACAGTTGAAAGTTCTCTTCTTTAAGAATTTTGTAACTGTAATATCCTTTTATTTTATAGAGTTAAATTTATTTTAATGTGGCCTTATTGTTGATCCGTATACTAAATTCGCTGCTGAATAAATATGGGAATTATATTGAACGACAAGTAAAATTCAAGCAGGTCGAGTTGATTTTTGAGGTGAAATTGAAATATAAATCATTTTTTTTTTTAAATAACGTTAGTGAAATGTTTGTAACAAAATTATAATAATTGTGTTGTGTGAATTTGGGAGCTAAAAATAATTCTAGTGTTGGTTTGTTGGCAAAATTGTAGAGGCATGTTAAATTGTATAGTAATATATATATATATATATATATATATTCCTTATCTTAGAGCATGTTTAATTTCACAATAGGTCAAATGGCATGGGTGGGGCACGATGGGACTTAAATTTAGAAGGACCCAAATTCGATCCTGATGTGCCAAATTAATTAGTTCGATTGTATTGTAATAAGTGTGTATAATTAGTTGAGTTATTTCGCTAGTCACGTCGGATCAATGCCAAGAAAGTACATTCATAAACTTGACAAATTGAACAGTAATAGATACTTATTTATAAATGTGACTAATTCGTTTGAGTTGTTAGTTAATTCGTTAATCAAGTGATCATAATAAAGAAGTGTCCCTTGGTCTTAAGAAAATATAAAAATGTAATGTTCCAAACAAATACATAAAATTTAGAAAATACAACTAATCAAATTTGAAGATAAACTCCATAACATGTTACAATACAATTTATATAACGTTATAAATTTCTTGTACTAGTCACATTCTTATAAATTTAAAAGTATGTATTTTGAATATTATAGCACAACGCATTTTTCCCCCCGTAAATTGAGGTCTCTTTAGTTGCGGATCAAAAATTTGAACCAAATACAATGATTTTAAGATCAACTTGATTAAGGAATTGAAAAGCATTGCTTGCAAAATCAATATCAACCCTTAATGTAAATCTAATACTTGACCGTGTTTGCTTTTATCTCTTGCTGCCTTTGGCCCTCAATACTTATTTGCCCCCCCCCTTTTTTTTTTTTTCCTCTCCTATCTTTTCTTTCTTTCTTTCTTTTTTGGGCCCCTTCATTCACAACTTTTTTCAGTCCTAGTTTCTGCCCTCTGGCCTGGTAACATGGGCTTCAAAGTTTAATTTGTCTGCCTGAATATTCTCTCTAGTCTGAAACACACTGCACAACGTCAATTTTCACGCTTGATCATATATTTTACTCTTTTCAATTACCTTGTAAAACTGACATATCTACCAGCTTTGTTCAAGAATCTTTACTGACAATGTGTGATAATATCATATTGAGCACCCTTATTTATTCCAGTAAGATTAAAAATCCGCTACTCACATTAAATGAGTCTCGTTAAATAAGTAAGTGAGACTCACCATTCTATTAGTGATGTAGTTTTATATCCCGACAGGGATAATTATGACACTTTTCTATCATATTAAACTAGTATCTGTTTTTTTTTTCTTTTTCAATCTGTGAAATATTAAACTTAACAGTTATGTTTTTGACTCACTACTGTATGGCATGTAACGCTCTTAGGGGCATGCCACTCCATCGAGCTCATGACAGGAACAGGAAATGGCGTCGCATGGAAGAAGACGACAGCGTGTTTGTTTACAGAGAAGGAACCTTGGATCAATCAACGTATAATTTCTATCACTTTGATAAGAACAACAACAAAAGTGGAGGCAGTAGCAGAGTCAAGTCCATCGGCATTCGTAACAAAGGAAACAGCACTCCTACTAGCTGCGTTGTTCCTTTGAAAGATTTAGTTCCATCACCAGTTAAGTTGGAGAAAGTATGAGCGAAAAAAGGTTCCTTAAATAGGTTTTTGTTTTCTTTTTGTCTAAACACTTTTAGTTTTCTTTATTTAGCTCCCCAGCCCCAAAAGAAAAATTGGGTCAAAGTGGGAATTAATGCTTATTTCATCTGAGAGAATTGCTAAGAATGAGTTATTCTGTTTTAATGGTGGTTTTGCAAAGATGGATTCGGTACAGAATAATACAATTTTGATATTTGAACTGTGTAGTGGTTTACTTTTGCCCTTGTAGTTTTGTGTTAGGCCTGCTAGTATATTTCATTCTATTTTTTGAGTCTTTAGACGGTTGGAAAAATTCTGGTCTTGGGTTTTCATAGCTCGACAATTGGAGAATCGGGAATCCACTAGTTAGAGAGCTAAGGTTTGGTTGGGCCTTTCCTTTGTACGAGGACTACTATTCTAGTCCGAGTCTTTGTCCCATCTCACTTCACCTCGTCCTATACTGGCGGCTTGGCATAAATATGGGTGTGGTTTTGATAATTATTTTAATATTTAGTTATTAATGGGTATTATTAGTTTAATTGTAAGATATTAATTCAATAATTATAATAAATTATATAGTTTCTCAAAATATTTATAATAATTAATGGAATTGGATTTCTATATTTAATGGTAACTATGTATGAAAAGGTAACTATTAAAAATTCGTCCATATAATATATATTATACACACACTATCTTGAGTGGTATTTTTGGTTGTTTCCCCTATTTTCTTTATTTGAAAATTACTTCATTTAAACAGCAAAAATGACAGCTACAACAGGAACTACCTTCTAAATGTCAATGAACCCTGACCTTGATGAATAACAAACCCAATTACAAAAAGCATGAGCACTTTGGTTACTGGATATTGTGATCTAGTTGAAGGAAATAAACCGAAAATTAGCAGCTAAATTAAAAATACTCTCGACAATACTAAGACACCACCACTCTGAACAAACAATATCTAGCTTCAAAGTGTCAATGCTTAACTTCTGATCACTAAGGCCCCGTTCGTTTCGTTAATTCAAAATATAACTTAAGTTTTTACTACAGTATTTTCTCACAAAAATTCAAATTCAACTTTTTAGTTATAGTGGTTTTTCTCACATGAATTCACTTTTTAACTCAAGATTTTAACTCAAATTAACGAAAAGAACAATAAGAAAAGTAATTGAGCTGCTAGCAATGAAACCCTACTATACAGTCTCACCTCTCTAACAGACGACATCCGTTGTTGCCTTTCCATCCTTCCAGGGCGCATCCATTGTTGTTATAAAAACCGCATTTGGGCTGACCTCTTGACAAAGAAACATTCAAAAGATACCCTTTTGAGGTCCTAATATATCTTAATATAGGCAACGCATCATCAGAAATCTCAACAAACCAAGACCTGTGAGGTACTAAAAACATATAATTCAAGAGCAGACAAAGATTTCTCTTTTCTTTTTTTTCTTTTTTTTTTTTTTCCGTCTGTCTTGGTTTTTTCTTAAAACCAACATCCTTAAAATGCATATCTCCTGAATCAAAAACAAAAATAAAAGAAACTATTTTGAGGTTCTAAAATCATATCTCAAAGCCTCACATCAAGCTCCAGTATTACTAAATAAGTTTCACACTTGTAGTTCTCTTTTCGTGTGATAATCACAAATAATGGTTGGTACATTTCTTTTACAAGTTTTGAGACAAATAAATCATTATCCAGAAAATATATTTTCTGGTGATTTTCATTTATTTGACAAATGGAGATGCAAATTGTAACATAATAAAAACTCCATCCAACAACATATAATTAAATCTTGAAATTCATCAAGGTACATAAATGGCTTATTGATTCATCAAGACCTATGAAAATGACAAAGAACTATTTGAACAAAGATGCATGGAGTACCTCAAATTTAGAGTCGGATCCAAATCGACTAAGCGGACGGAATGGTGGCCGTTGCTCAAAACTCGATTTGAACAAAGATATATTTGACATTTCTAAATCGGAACTCGACATTGGCCGTTTATTGCAGCTAAATTTCTGAGGAGTTGCTTGTCGCGTGGCTGAAAATGAAAATCAGAGTTCAGATCAACATAATAATATGCTTTCACATAAATTAAGATTTTGAAATTTGCTATTTATTGCTGCTGAACGAAGATATGTTCATCTAACCACATGTTCATCTATCCCATGTAAATTCGAACCTTTCCCTTTAGAATTCTCACTCATTAATCACTTTGAAATTGAACAAACGGATGAAACCGGAACCCTAATACGAATGCAATGGAATTCACATACAACAAGTAATTATTATTTAGGCCTCGTTCAGTCCGTCGATTTGAGTTTTTATTTCGAGTTGAGATGTGACTTTATGTGAGAGTTTTTAACTGTAGCAGAAAAAAATTAAATATGACTTCTTATAAGAACTTTTAATTGTAATAAAATTAAAATTAAAAAATTCAAAACAGTAAAATAAACGAGACCTTAATTAACATCAACAAGAACAAATAGAGAGAAAATTAAGAACTTACTGTTGAAGCTTCACTCTACCGGTGTGTATTAACGGTAATAAAGGTCATATCTTACCCTTGGATCCTATTTATTTAAACACCCAAAAATCCTGCGGTTAAAAGAGTTGAAATTGGAGGAAGATTTTTAGACTCTGATCGCAGGGCTTTTAAGTGTTTGAATAAATTGGGTTCAAGGTTGGACTTGGAAATAACTTTTATTGTCCTTAACAAACGCTCATAGGATCAAAATCATAACAAAAAAAATTTAATTAGACCTTAATTGTAGAGATTTTTAAATTGAAATAGTCAATTAATTAATTAAAAAAAAATAGGGAAAACATTGGGAGGATGTGTAAAAGAAAAAAAAATCTTCCTGAAATTACAACGAAATTTACACCCATGGATATAGCCAAAATGCAAGTGGCCGCTACGTTTATTTCTTTTTTGGGTGGTTGCTTACGTGTTAATTCCGTCCTAAAAAAGAAGTATAAAGAAGAATCAAAAGAAAGAAAGACTTCTCTTTTACCATGGTCTAAGTTATGGACCAACGCGTTCAGCAAAAAAAAAAAAAAAAAGTTGTGGACTAACGCGCCTCGTCATTTTCAAATTGGCAGAAAGCATTTCCCTTTTCCTCACAGAATGTGAACGACGGACAATTAGACATTATTGTCGTACAGAATGTGAACGACGGACAATTGGACATTATTGTTGTTTATTTGACAAAGCTACGGCCTTTACTAGATTTTACTTTCCGTATGACTAAAATGATAAGTGAGCAAGGCTTTATGTAATTTTTGAAACTTCAGTCACAATTTCAGAATTTTTAAGGTATCGAAATTTTTTCAACTAAAAAATTCATTTTGCCAATATATTGGAAAAATATATGAAATATCGGTATGAATATCGATATTGGTAAGCATATAGTGTAATTTAGGAAAAATTTTGAGAAATTTCAGAAAAATTTCTGTTCAAAAAAATTTCGGCCTGTTAAATTTTTCTATTAAATATTAATCTCTACCTAAACCGTCTTTGTCCTCTGGTGATAGACTTTGCTTGGCATTCTATCTTTTCCGTTTTTTCTTTAAAAAGAAGAAAAGTTGGCGTGAGAATAAAGCAAAAAACTATTCATCCACGTATGCCTGATAGTATGATCACGACACGACAACACGATTAAAAAATGATATGAATTTCACGGGTTAAGATTGAGAAAAAAGAAGTTCGGGTCAAAATTAGATTGACCTGAAATTGACACGAAAAATACGGGTCAATTTCGAGTTGAACCCGTCTAACCCGAACACGACACGAAACTCGTAAAAAACTAAAAAATACATATATTTTTCATTACATATTTTTTATTCTATTATGAACTTGTGATATCATGATAGTTATACTCAAAATCTTATATTATTATTTGCTTATTTTTAATGGATGTTATTGTATCTTAGTGTGTTATGAATTTTAAGTTATTTTTAACATTAAAAACTAAATAAAAGTATATGATTTTCGTGTTAATTTCGAGTTCACGGGTCAATTTCGTGTCACGTGTCATTTTTATGTCGTGTCAACCCGTAAAGTGATCGTGTCGTGTTTGTGTTGCGGTTTTTAAAAAATTACGTATCACGGGTCGTGTTCGGATTAACTGTAAATTTAGAAAGAAACGATCAAAACACAACACGTGTGTGACGACCCTCCTATGAGGCCACCACTGTAACTTAAACTTTAACTTGTACTTACTGGGGTTTCTTAAAATTTGCGGAACATTTTTTTTTTTTTTATATATAAGAAAGAATACTTTCATAATTTGTAACAATAATTTCAAATAAGTGAATCACTAAATTTCTTAAAGTTTTTCTTAATTTCAGTTAAGATAAAACGTTCTAAAAATATCTTTCAAACAGAGCAGCATTTGAACTCTTATTTCAAATGCTCTTTAAAAGCCTTTCTAAAACTAGCCAATTCAATCGGGCCATTTAATTTTGACTTTAAAACGGATTTCGTGAGAAATCTTAAATTCAAGTACATCTTAAAGCCCTTTTAAAATCAATCATTTAAATCGTCATGTTTAAAATTTATTTATTTGTTGCATGCTCTGTTGCAACGTTCTAAAACTTAAATACTCAAAACGAGGGTTGTTAGCTACAACCTCGGTTTCCTTAACATACATATGTACCTATACTTTTTAAACATACATGCTTGAAACCTTTAAATCATACATACATATACATGATTTTTCTTAAACTTACTGCGGAAGATAACTGCGTGAGCGGTATCCATTCCCATCT